GGTCATGTATGCAATCGGTGTAGTCCACGACCTAAGCAGTCTAAGCTTTATGATAGCTTTGAAGCAGCTTTCGACTTTGCCACTTCGCTAGAAAAAAGGGGTTTCGCCTTCAGTGAGCCATGGCAAGCAGAAGCTCCGCTCCCTTGTACTCCCTTCCCGACAGCATCCCCGAACCTTACCCGGTTCTTCAGAATCTTAGCGTTGGTGGTCCCAAGGGCACAACTCTGGCACACACCCACATGAAGCAAGCAACCCTGCGGGGACCAGGTCGCCGACGAAGGAGTCGAAACCGGGCTTCATTGTGCAGGCCGTGTGTGTGGGTTTGTACTATATTAATATCAGTTTCGAAGGTTAGCGGGGAGATCTTGATTTGGGAGACTTGCGCACGCACTGCAAGAATCGGTGTTTTATCTTGACAAATCTATGCTATCTGGCGGGGTGCATTCTCGCCGCCTAATTACTCATACCATCGAAGAGATCTTTCAATTGAATATCTATATTGACGAACTCTGCCGCATCTCCCTTGTCGAGCAAGGAGTTGTGCCAAGTTCCTCTTGTAAAGCCATTGTAACTGTAACCACCGTCTTGCCTTGGGCCCCACACTTGAGACACCTTGCCCATGGCACGTGCAGACCATTCAATCTATTGGTGTCTGATACAACCACTACTAATTACAGCATGATTGTGCGGTCTGGCTCGTTGGCACGGGAGTTCTCAATATCTGGAATCTGAAAATCATCCCGAAGTGGTCAGATGCTCATACACGATCCTGCTTGCATTCGTTATGAATTCGCCCGAAGCATGTGGAGATCTCCCTAAATGGCCTCCCATCATCCTGTGTCCCCATACGAGCTTCCCCGGCTTTAAGAAGTATTTTTGGCAAACCCATTTGGAAACAATGATTCGCAGAGGTTGATTTGGAAACATTTTTAAAGTTTTATGGCCCCACATCCCACTCTATTCCGCATAAAGCCAAAGAAATCTAATCTTCATAGGGGCCAGAGGGCCCCCAAATCAACCCTAAACCCGAAACCCTATGTCCAAACCCTAATTCAGGCAACCTCAGGTGTGGGTTTGTCAAAGTCATGGGCCCATGTCCCCCCAGCTCCCCCGTCTTCAAAGGCCGAACTCGGGATCCCTAAAACTGACATCGCTGTGTCTGCTTTGGCCCTTTTAGGTTTAGGGTTTAGGGTTTAGGGTTTGGGGTCTAGGATTTGGGTTCAGGGTTTGGGGTTTCGGGTATAGGGATCCCAGGGACCCTAAATTTTATTTGTAATTAGCCAGGGAATAATGGAATATACTCCCTATGTACTATATTCCCTTATTCCCTACTAACCCCCCAGTAAGTAATGTTGGGAATTTCCAGACCCCAACTGGTAGTTTCCCAAAAAAAGGAGACCCCAATATAAATCCCAAAATACTATAGTCCTTCTTATTGGGACCCCAAAATGGTACTCCTAATTTTGGGAAACCCCCAACTTTTGACATTCCAAGGAAGTCACTTTCCTTTTCAGTGGTGGAGGCTGAGGATCCTGCAGCGAGCACGGCCATCCGGCGAATTCGCAGTTTTAGGGTTTGGGGTTTAGGGTTTGGGGTTTAGGGTTTAGGGGTTAGGGTTTAAGGCTTCTACAAGTGAATTACTGGGTTGCTGTTAAGGAACTTAAACTAAGTTACTATAATAAGGAAGCCCTTTTATTTACGATATTATGGTAAGTAAGTTGAAGTTCCGAAACAGCAACCCAGATGACATGGCAACTTGTAACAATGTGTCCTAGGGGTCCTATATATATGATATACATACAGGATTTTTAAGTTCTAAGAGCATGATGGGTTCCCCGTTGGGGGTTATATAGCTCAAAGGCTCCCCGAAAGAGTCTTGCACAGTTAGTTGGCTAGTCCTAGAAGCTCTGCGCAGCCTTCTGGTTGGTTGTAGCTGGTACGTCAAGGTATTCGGATGCAAGCTTCTCGCTCTCTCAAGTCTGAATGACAAGCTCCCAACAAACCTCTTCCTCAGACGACTGCAAGGCAGGTATTATAGGTGTGAACTCCTGCAGCCTCCTTTGACCAAGGATCGTCTACGCCGTCGTTTGATGCTAAGCGTGGGCACGATTGGTGCCCGGGCTGCTGTTCAGTTTCTGTCCTGGGCTACACTTGTGATTTCAGGACTTGCGGTTAGTTTTTCCAAGGATCATGAAGTGGGGGGAGGGGGTGTGAGGGGGGGGGGGGTTGCCTTATCCTTACCTTATCATATAATCATAGGATAAGCTATGGATAAGCATAAGTTAAGCATAGGATAAGAAGAGAGTTGGGGTTTTGTGGATAAGCATAGGATAGCCATAGGATAAGCATGGGAGCCGGGGAGCATTTAAGAAAGGTTTTGTTTGGCGCGGCGAGTGGCCAGTGCACAATTCGGTCAGAAGTAACGCAGCCACAGACACGGGAATATTATGCAGACGGGGGCCTCAACCCGCCCCTCCCCGCAACCCATCCCCCCTAAAACGGCTGCACATTTTCAGGGTAGTTTGCAAATTTATCTCCGTACATGTAGGAAGCTCCCTTATCCTGGGCTTATCCT